CTCTTCACATCGCCCTCTCCACAATGGCCAACCATCAAACGAACTATAATTAATGTTTAATGCCGAGCATGTGTGTGTGTGTGTGACGATCACGTAACCACGACGAGGTGCAGTGTTCGCAGCGTTTTTTAGCTCTACTCTGCGCTACCACGTGATTGGCCATTTGAACTGTCACGTGACACCTACTACGCAAATCCCATTGGTGATTTGTTTCGCAAGCACTGCTTAATTGCGGTACAATGTGGGAGTGTTTGGTCAGTAAGACTCAAATTAGCCCAAAATTATCATAGCTGGTGAAATTGCCGCAATTACTCTACACTCGTTTGAGGATATAAAACAGTATTTCAACCTGCTAATTTAGATTCATTGCATTCCAATCGGCCCAATTCGGACGATTACGCGCGATTTCCACTGGGATGCCAGAGGAAGTTAGCAACCTTCCATGCATGAATTTGACTCAGTGTTGAGCTTCTTGTTCACCTCACGACCCCTTTAAGGCGCATTTCGTGATTGCCCGGCCACCAGCATGCTCCAAGTCTTCTCAGTCCCGTTCATTCTTTTCATTTGGTTATTCCTAGTTCTCGGTAGACTTAACTTGAAGGGTTTCTGCACGTTCCAAGAACATCCACGATCGCAGTCAACCAACCCCCTAGCTCGTCGAAACTTACGCATAATAATACTGCTTATGTAGTATTATTTCAGGACTAACCAATCACCACAAGGGAATTTCCAAGCCTTAAATCAGCTCATAATTCTTAGTGGTTTTCCCAACCATTTTCCTGTTTTTTTTTCACAAAAACGCATTGATTGCATCTTGCTTCATAACAAATGACATTCTGTGACATGCATGGTTTCGATCGAGATCTGAGGTTTTACTCGGATTCGCAAAACCTCTGTCCTTGCTGCGAATAAGATGCTCAGGTATGTGTAGGTTTGGGAACAAACAAAGATTGAGTAATCACCAATCATTCATCTGCCATCTTGTCTTGAAGTCTTTTGTTAGCTTTCTGGTAAATTTGAAAATCCACGTACTATTTATCCCTAGCTACCCATAGACCTAGGTGTGACGATAACCCGAGACAAATATTCGTGCGAATGAGGGGGGAGTTGAGGATCCTCGCGGCTGGCGACATGCTGCGAAAAGGGGAACCCTGTGTCGAAGGATGGAGCTACCGGATTAAGGAGTGTCTATAAAAACGATTAACAACAACCTTTTTGCAATTTTCGAAATCCGACTGCGTGTGTGTGTGTGCGTATGTTGCCAAAGTTGCAGTAGTATGTAGCAGTCATCTTCCAGATTGTCATTTTTAGTAAATGAACTCCACGTTCGGCTGCGTTGCCACGACAACCCAATGACGTCATCTGGTCCTTTTCTTGTCTCCGACATCACAATTGAAAGTCCCCAGTTCCGCAAGAAACTACCGTCGCTGCAACTGTCGTGCAGTTCTTCTGTAAGTTTTATTTCATTATAAAATAATTGGATCTCTCTAACCTTGTGAAATGTTTAGGCGTCGAAATCGTATATCTTTCAAGATTAAAAACGGCCATCAAATTGTGGCCTTGGGACATGCGTTTAGAGTCCTAAAGTATGTAACGATGCTGACCAATCACAATCCACCACCAGACTCGCTTAAATTGAACCCGCCAATCAGAAACAACCCTGCTAGTAAATTGAAGGTTACGTAAATATGCCTGTTGTTTTTCATGTGTTGCAGCACAAACTGCGACGTGCTTGTCTACGTGGTCAAATTTGCCTGCAGTTTACGGGAAAGATGTTTTATTTTGTTATCTATTGACGGCAGTTCTCTTTGATAGAAACCGGTTTTTGTGTGGGTGAAGGTTAATTCCATGTTCAATTTTCACTTTTAACTAAAATTGTCTCAAACATTGGCGATCTATCGCAAAAATCACGGACATACTCATGATGACGTATATTTAAGGTATACTAACATCGTACAATATGTACGCGTGGGTGCGCACGTGCTTTCCCGATCAATAAGCGATCCTGATTGGCTGTCCATCCTCACTGGGTGGCTCTCTCACAGGAAGCTCGATAATGACAAAGTCAATTTAGATGTTTAGTTATGCGTTTTCGTAGGCATTCTTGTTGACGTACCATCTCCTCTATTCCAAAATCACGTGCTCGTTGAGGAATTCTAGTCTCGTATTTTGTTTTAACACTTCACCCCTTTCTACCAAGGTCACTAACTGACCAATCAGATTAAGGAAAGAATCTCATTGTTAGGCGCTGCATAATTTACGACCCACAAATCACGGCAAATACGTAACTTTCAATGCCCTTGTTTAGTGATGCCAACGTGAGCAAATTTAGATTACTCGATTTTGGGGAAACTAACCGCAGAAAAGATATACCTAGCCACCAGAAAAACTTTTATTTTTTTGGCTGCATTTGAAAAGTTTGCAAATATAGTAGCTTTTTTTTAAATTTCAAGCCTGGATCCGTGCGGTCTGCCTGTTCCACCAATGAAAACGACGAAACAACTTCGATTTACTCCGAGGAGAGCAGCGGGTTTCGACAGGGCTCCGATTCAGGGACGGTAATAAGTTGCCCTCTGGAAGTGCCCCAGTCATCACCAAGCATGCTTGACGAGGTGACTTTACTGTCTTTGCCGTAGCAATGTCATTTCTTTATTAAATCCAAGCGGCACGTGGCACTGTGACCTTGAACAAACGCTTGTTTAAATCAAGTGGCACGAGGGTTAAATATTTATAACTGAAAAAAGGAAAGTTGCATTTTGGGATATTTATATTATGAGATTTTAAAGGGTATTAATTGTTTGAAGCGTGGGATCGAACTAGAAACAAATGGGCAAATCACGAAACTCAGTGGTGTGAAATAAGATATCGTCAAGAAACGCCTGACATTAGCCCTTCGTCCCCCCTTAAAAATCATTTCATTCTATGCGAAAATTTAAAATCCACCAATCGACCCGCTTTGAAAAGAAACCGGCCAGTTTTCACAGAAATTGACCTCAGAATTTGTAGAAAGTTGTAGGCAATTATGAAGGTCACAGTATTGATTATTGAAAACTACCTTTTATCCTTCTCCTTACGACCTAGAATAGGCTGATGATACGCTCCAGCTTTAGAAACAACTGCCAGTGTGGTTTGGGACGTTCCGTCTATGCCCAGAGTCTAATATGTGCCCACAGAGATGCGGGAATTTTCGCCATCGCGTCAGCCTTTTGAAACAACGCCTTTCCGGGCTGAATCACGCTTTTGCGGGATGCTGGTTAGGGTGTGAATGTCAGTCCGCCATCGCTTTAAAGCCTGCTTGTCGTGTCAGAAACGGTCTATTTTGAGTTCTCGGTGTGCTATTCGTAGTCCTTTTGTGAGGATATGCCGTAAATAGTCTCCTAGCAACCAAGCACAGTCGTTTAGACAATGCTATCTGATCACGGCCACTACTACTACCAACCCGCACCTCTAAAATATTTTAACATGGGATCAATAGTTTAATATCTGATTTTGGTTAAAAGAGGAATCAGCTTAACAAGCAATGTTGACTCACTTTTCACCAGTGGGATTGGGTGCTAGACTTTGAAATGTCCACATAACGGAGGTCACCTGTTCTTTAACATGGATGCATTAACTTAACTGAAATCGTTAATTTAGCGTTCAAACTCAGAAACATTTGCTTTAAGTTAAACTTGCGCCAATGAAAAGCACGTTCCTGTGACTAAATCTCAAAATACGACAATCGAACTTAATCGAGTGAATGCAAATTTCCCAAAATGCACATTACTTTGGCACAAGACGGATAGGGTGACCTGATTTACAAAAAGCACGAACTCTAGTGCCTTCCTCGTTCCCGGGAGAAGCCATTTTGCTTTGTGAGAACATGTGTTCTCTCCTCATAGTAAACGAAGTGATTTGGTGTGAAAATTCTTGATTGACGTTTCACACTCGTCGGAATCCCATCAGTTTGCATCAGTTGTTAACTTCTGACCGGTAGAATTAGAGCTAACTAGTCGCATTGACCTTCTAAGTAGCCTCGTTAGTGCCCGGTTTGGCAGTTTTCGTGGGTCTAAACAGCTGGAATGTGAAACGGATTTGCGTGATGGCCTTGTCAGCTGTCTAAGTGCGCTTGCCTCGTCTGTTTTGTAGGAATTTTCAAACCCAACGGACGCAGACGAATGCGCCAGGTAAGATGGACCTAATTACCTGCTAAACGTTTCAAACTGCCCCTGTCTAGAAACGGTCGCACAGACCACGTTTTAGCATATCCCTGAACGGACCTCGACAAAGTATTGGCCCAGAAGGAATCTTAAGCGTCATCTAACTGAGTTTATGTGACAGATTTTGAGAAACAGAGTAATCAATAAGGTTTACTAGTTCGCAGAGCCTACACTGCGTTGATTGGTCTAAATTTCTGAGCCAATCAAAGTAATCCATTTGCGTTTTTTAATTGATCTTTGGTCACAACTGACCAGAAAACTCGCTGTGGTTTTCAAATGTGAAAGATTTTAGGAGTAGGCCACAGACGGGTCCATTGAATGCTAACTTGGTGACGAATTTGTCTTATTTCTTCGGCCTAACTGGCAAAATTTTTCCAAACAGATTAGTGAAACCGCCACAGTGGGGAACGCAGTATGTTTCAACGGGCTCGCGTTTAGACCATGTCATGGATCGCATTTTTGGTGAGTTTCTGCCTTATTTTCTCAAAGTCATTCTAAAATTTTCAAGTGCCCTTTTTGAAACGGTTTCACTCCCATTGTAAGTGTGACTGGAAATTCTCAACAAGTAGCTTATTCAAATCAACCAATGACTGCGTTGTTTGGGTTAACTCAAGATATAACGAAATCCTCGATTATGATTGGTTGAATTGAATTGATTCATCCAGATTACGTTTCATTAATTCTAGCTTGTAACAAAAATCCATTTTTTAACCAAAACGGCTCGTTCAAGGTGATGTATTGTTTATTTAACCGCGAATTTAAGAGCAGAGTTAACACTACTTATTTGAAGCCAGGTTAGTAATATATATCAGTGTTTATTTTCTTCTCTTTTTTGCAGTTCAAGTCTCTCCCGAAGGCGACATAAAGATAAATCATTTGGCCTGTCTTGCGCACATTCGAACAGTGATTCGAAAAATTGTCAATGAGGCCAAAGTTCTCGTAAGTATTTGAAAATCAATCTTTTAATCCATCATCCAGTGAGATGTCACTGTCCATCATCCAATATAAAGTTTCCAACCGTTAACCAATGAGACTATTTCCTCCACCACTTCTTTCTGATCGATAAAATTTTATTGGCTTGAAATGGAGTTCTAAACGGCGAGAGGTTGAGAAAATTTATTCAATTCAAAAGGCAAAACTACTACTGAAATGCAGAAATCGAGTTCAACACCATACGAATGAGCACATTTACATTTTGTGTTTGTGTCGTTCGTGTGCTTAAAATTTTTCTTTTCTTTTTACCTATTTCTAGGCAGAAAAATAAAAAAACCGATCTGTAAATTAATTTTTTTAGTGGTTTGTCATCGTCAGTCATCTCCTGAAGACAACCCAACGACTGCTGTTAATGAAATTTTGTCTAACCAATCAGATTCATAGAAAATCAAAATACTGTTAGGCAATTGGTCAGAAGTTCCATGTCATTGGTGGGTGGAGATACAGCCCACGAAAGGCGTGTTTTTATATTTTCCAGGTTTTCAACTGTCAAGAACCTGATCCGAACGTGGCCCAACTCTTCGACCAGGCAAGTCATCAACGGGCGCTTGTCGGTTTCAAATCGATGCTTTTTTTTTCAAACCAGAAAATCACTTTAGTTATCAGGCCAAGTTTGGCAGTAGGTCATCACAACAAACCTTATCCCACTTGTACTAATTGTAATTTACATGGATTGTTTGCGTGCACTTTTATCTTCAACCATCTGGCCACCGATGACAACCAGGAAAAGTGCTGATTACAGATAAAGAGTGGATGGTTAGTGGTGATGCAAGCGTCATTAGACCAAATTGTCACCGATCGGATCCCTTGTGGAGTGAATTTTTGAAAAGTAGAGCGGAATATTGATCCGTCTTTTCCCAAATCCAAGGTTATTGATTGCTGCTTCGACCTGCGCGCGACGCCCGACCTTGAGTCGTTCGTGCGGTTCTGTGAGGTGTGTTATGATTGGTTGGCACAGAGCAACTCCAACGTAGTCCTTTTCCACGCCGAGAGTTCGACAGCCAATCACCGGCTCCTTTTACTCCTCTACGCCTACGCGTCCTTCTGTGATTCTGTGGAAAGGTACATTGATTACCTGCTCTACTTAAAATGTTTTCGTTTTAGCATCAGTAAAACCATCCAATGAACGAGGGGAGTTGCATTTCCCACCATAAAACCCATTGATATTGATAACACGGCACCACCTTAGTGATGATGCGCTGAAATTTCCAAGCTGTTTAACATGCACGAAACACGCAAAATGGGACTTATATGTGAGCTGCTGGAAGCTAATGTGCAATTTGATTGGTCAGCGAATCTCAGTTGGGAGAATCGATTGCTAGACAAATCAAAAGAGGTTGGCTTCCCTTTGACAGCTCAGTCCCTCGCTTGAAGCCTGGTGCTTTTGTGTGTTAATTTAAGCAAGTTTTGTCGAAATTCAAATTTGACGCCAGTCCACACTCACACGGTGAGCCAATGGTAGACGGCGTTTTTGCACTTCAGGCGTATCTTTAAACTGGGCTCCATTTCAGCAGACACGCACATAAACAAGCTCCGTTACGAGGTGTCTATGATTGAAGACGCCCGTGGGTCAAGTTAGTCATTCCATTCGTGTTGGCGCAGTCGAAGAAAGCGGTGTGTTAGCCTTTCTAACGAAATCGTTTCATTTCCAGCAACCAAATATTTCCTAAATTAATCGGTTATTTTTCAAAAGATCTGCATTTCCATAATTTCATATTATACTTGTTTGAATTCGTTTAAGCAACGCGGCAATTTTAAAACCGATCAACCACACTGCGGAGTTAAATGACCAATAAACCGAAACGGTTTGTTTGGAGTTGCCATGCCACCTGATTGATCACGAATGGGTACTGGGGGGTACGCGGGAAGAAATGAATATTGGACTCCACACAAAGTCAGGTCTAAGACTAAATCGCGTTAGTCATCGTGCAAGAATTCGCGTACTTCATGACACGAACGCCAGGGCGTGTCCTAATACTGCGTTTTTCTTGTGGAGAACACTTGTTTTTTGTACAAAGTAGAGCGCCATTTACACACTGACCTGAAAGAAGCGCCTTAAAGTAAGGCTAAGGTCACGCGCGAAACAAAACACTTTAAATTGGCCAATGAAATTAAACGAATCTGGCCAGTGTTTCGCCTAATCGATAGGATACATTTTATCGCTCTAAATCAAATTGTTTAACTATCTCACGGCAAAGTACTTCTCTCACAATCCTATGTTCGATTTTGACGCTCCCATTCCAGCGCATCATGTGGTAAAATAGTTGAATTTAGTGCTGTGTCATTTTGTGTGTTGTGGGAATCGGCGTAGTTTGTGTTAACTCTATTTCGCATCTACCGCCCAGTCATCCTATTGGATGTGCCATCATTTCCCTGGCTCTCAAGGTCACTCAAGGACGTTTAAAAAACAAATTTGTGGCATAGGCACACCAACGCACATAATAGCCTATTTGGGCGGCCTAATTTGTTTAAACGCATCTCGTTCAGAGATTTCCACGATGTAGACAGAGATTACACATTCTGTTTGCACAATAATTACATTAGTGATTTATATCGTTTGACGTTGATGATCAGTCTCATTCACTGGTAAATTCACAGCCGTGATTGTCTAGAGGCGATCCTGATCAATTCTGCGACGATTTTGAACTATATTCCAAGAACTCAGTTGTCACGACTCTGTAGACATTAAGGTTTACGCATTCTTAAGATCCAGCTCTGTTTACTACCGCTGAAAGTAGAGACAAGTTTGAATGTTTGGGAAAATAAATGACGAAAAGCGAGAACAGATGAATCATACATCCGTGAAAAGTAGGTCATGAAAACGAGTGCATGGTAAAAACCTTCCGCTCTTTTTCCTAGTCCTCTTGTCATCGTGTCTTCGTCTCTACTACAAAAAAAGGGTTTTTTAAACACACAAAAATGACTGGTAAAAATAGATTTTGGCTCAAATTACGCGGTCAGACATTATTGAGGTTATGTTAAGATTGATTTTTCAAGTTTAAACCAAAAATGCCACTGGTAGTGAAAACATGGTTGATTCAGAGATTTTGAGTTATTGGGGGAGAATATATGAGGCAAAACTCTTAAAAATAGCGTTTCAATGTAATGTGATAGGCCCTACAGTCAAAACCGGCCTGGTATTTATACCAAAACCTTGTCCAATCAACTTACCCTAACTTTCTGATTGGCTGCTTGCATTTACGAGGGCAGTGTCGAGTCATTTCAAAAAATCGATAACCTGTTGTAAATTCTAGGCAGAATATCAGAACGAACCAACGACTGAAGGCCTATCTCTCGGCTTATCCTAACGGAAATATCAGGGTTCCAATTGTGTACCTGCGGTGAGTCATTTAATTTGGTGAAACGTATATTGGAAAAGTTCCTGAAAATTAACACTGAAATAGCTGCAAGTATTGAAATTAAATTAAAATCGAAATGTTCTTGGACACGTTAAAATGCATAACAGCCACGAATGTGCGATCAAGCTAGCTGCCGGTACGATAAAATTTCAAGGCCTTAAGGCAATCATTTTAGAAAACGTCATGCAGAAACTTCCGACTCTGCTGTGCCACATTTTTCATCATCGTGTACAATAAATGCATCACTAACAGGAGACGTTTTGAGGCAATCCACCAATGGGATTCGTGAAGGAGGTGTCACGTGACAGTCGAAGTGGCCAATCACGTGGTAGCGAAGAGAAGAGCTAAAAAACGCCGCGAACACTGCACCTCGTCGAGGTTACGTGATCGCCACATACACACACACATGCTCGGCATTAAACATTAATTATAGTTCGTTTGATGGTTGGCCATTGTGGAGAGGGCGATGTGAAGAGCGGCCAGAGCAAGATCATTTGAAATGACAAAATAGCATTACATTAAAACAAATTTTGTTCTATAAAAGATTGATTTACTGCGACTGTGTTAGTTATTGACCAAGTATTGGTTTTCAACAGGAGTTGAAACCTGACTTCTGGGAGCCAATCGGCTGCCAGGAAACCCCATCTCCCAATTTGAAGTGGGTTTTAATTGGCTAGAGATGTGATAAGTGTGATTGGTGAATGACATAGCTCAAGGTGGTAATGAGAGCATTTCACGCAAGTACACAAGCCTTATAATGCTAACCACTCAACGGGTGCTATTCCAGTACAATTTCACGCTACATTTCCACGACCCACTTCAACGCAATTTGCAAGATATTGCCACTAGAGTTGTAGAAGCGGCGTCTAGATATCTAAATCGAGATGGTCTCTTCGTAGAGACAGTATATTGATGTAATTACAATGGATTGGTGTTCATGTGTGTGATTAGAACAAAGACTTTACTGTGACTTCAAGCAGTGTGAAATTTGAGGTCGCCGAGTTTGACTGGAGCCACAGAATGCCACTGAAAGGAATGCCACAGCAAACTGGCAGATTCTCTAGTACCGTGGTTGACCGTTTCAATTAACTACTGCTGAATCGTCAGTTCTGAAATGGTGGTCGTTTCTAGGGGGTGGGCGGTAGTGGGAACAGAAGCAACGAATGGACGAGTCAAGGTTCGCCACAACTTCTTGTCGTCTTTTGAACAAAAATGGACAAACTGAAGGAATCAATGACGATTCAGTGAAGAACAATCAGAACCACTGCTCATGATGCATTGATGGCTCACGGGTCTTTGGAATTGGTGTCGATTGTAGGTGCTTCTGCACACACGAGCAAGATACGGCATTGCCTTTCAAACCTGTCATTGTAGATGCATTCAGAGCATGATTAACTTCACATTCTGTCAGATGACAATCTCATCGGCGACTTAGTCGACCTTAGTGCAATCACGAAACGTCGGCAGTTGGGTATACCACGCAAATTGAAAGGAAAAACTTGTCGAATTTCACAAAATGTACATTTAGGAATGGTATTGTTGAACCGCCATGGCAGTGGCTGTGTTGTCACAGCATTTTCTATACGAGATGTCGTGTTGTGAAGAAAAGAAAACGCTTCAATGGAAGAAGAAGAATACCTAGGAATGCAGTGGTAATCGGTGTGTGAACCACGAGATTACAAAATGCATGCTGGCGTCACACGTTATCTTAATTTCACATCCAGGTTAGAAGCGTCAACCAAGTCGGCGTCAGTGCACAGGTTTAAACAGAACGGTGAAGTGTGTTTAATAAAACGTTTTTTCGGCACGTTGCTAAGGCAACACCCTTTAAATAACTGAAAAGGCGTGTGTTTAAACAAAGGAATGAGCGCAATGTCGAGTGAAAATATCTTACGACAGTGCAAGTGACGCCTCTAACACCGCATTCTGCAGAAACACACCTTCACACACGCCGAAAATGTGTTCATTTGCTTGTGTGTGATTGGTCTGTAAATTGTGAAAGGCCTGTCGATGGTAGGTTCTTCTAGAGCTCGATACGACGTCGTTGAAACCTACTACCGACCTCGTGTTCAATGTGATGGCCTTCACGCCATCTCAATGTCTTGTTTAACTCTGCAGGTACGCGAGCTACATGACAATTTTTACGCCATTCCGACGTCAAAGCATTTCCCGCGCAACAATGTCCATCCACGCTCTCACCGTGGCCAACTGTCCGCTCTTTTTCGACCACCGCGTGAGCGTCTTCTTCAAGTTCTACTCCTATGCCCCTCTGCGCCACGTCTACACCTCCAATGTACAGTAAGTAGTTATCGTGGACAACTTCCAACTCATCTACACCAATCACTCAGCCTCATTTTCGATGTCTTCTTCGTCTTCAGTGAAATCCACGGTCGAACGCACAATCGAGCCATCATCCAGTTCTCCGAGGCAGCCATCTCGCTGCGGGGTCCCGTAATTATCATCTGTTATCGCTGGAACCCGCGGCAGGTTGAGAGAAAGCGCATTTTCAAGTAAGCTGTTTGAATTGTCGCACACTTCCACATATCTAGGTTAACATTCCATTCATGTGAGGCGCATCGCGAATGCCTGACATTCGACTACGACACATTTGACGAGATTTCAGAAGGTAAGTCAGATTTGTTGCGTCTTTCTCGTCACTTCTAGCTGTTCCCGCGACCTTCAAACTGAGTCTACATTTGACACCCTTAATGGAAATCGATAGTGGTAAGTCTACAACCCTCACTAAAGTGTTCTTTTTTTTATTTGAATCTTTTTTCATAAAAAATATATTGTAGGACACGAAAACATCTTCCTCGAAGACACCAACACAACACGCATACGCGACGCCCAAATCCCATTGGTTAATTGTATCGATCCGCTGAACGTCATCCAATCGCGTAGCGTCTCGCTGCAAGCAGTGCGTCTTGCCGACTCACTGGAAGATCTAGATTACGTGCCTAATCGATCGAACCTGCTAGTAGAAAGGCATGACGCGGAGGAATGTCGCGATTTGCAGAGGCAGCGGGCTCAAACATTTAATGAGTTTTTCCTCAAGAAATACGGCCTGTCTGAGCGCAAAAAGTGGAACTTTCATGTCGCCAGTGCATTTCCTCAGCGAAGCGTGGAAGCACCTCGTCGACCTCCGCCACCGACATTCCTTTCTTCAGTCGAAACTTTGTCTGCGGTGACGATTACCTCGGACAAGAGTAGCTTCGACTCCGGCACCAGTCTCCACTCTGATTCATCAGGTACTACTTTGCTACTTAAACAAATTTAAGTAAGCATAATTTACCGGACTTCTGCGAAATTTTGTCAAATTTCAGAGGGATCTGAAAGCAGCAGAAAGCGATGGAAGATGTCGGGATTGAAGAAAATCAAACGAAAACTTAAAGGTAAGGCACACCTGACATCACCCATGTAGCCTCGGAATGGTTTAAATACCGCTTGCTTTGCTGGTTTAACCAGGAGCGGTTGAGATGGCTCGCTCGTCGAAATCGTGGAAATCTCTCAACGATGAGGCGTCGATGCCTCCGCCACCAAGTGCGGTTGTTCCCCGAGCCAAAACAGCACCGAAATCGGTCGCATTTCATCAGGCCACGCCTAAGAAGGAACCTCCCCCTCGACCACCACCACCATCATCATCAGCAGCAGCAAACTCCATGGACTCGGAAGAGGGGGTCCGTGTGTTGAAGGCTCCTGCTGGGCAACGTGGCGTGCCCACCAGCTACTTCGGTCCGTTGGAGAAGTATCGACGCACTGCTGAGAGCGAGTCGACGGCGGGTAAGTGACCAGACGTCAGCCAAATGTGCTTCTGTTTGTTTTAATTCGCTCAAAATCAAAACCGCGCGGTATTCGACTCTTCGTCACTTAAATCTGCGACTTTTTACACGGAGGATTTCGGCGGAAGGTCCTGGCCATCTACCATTAGTGCATGTGCACTATTTACGTCGTATAAGCGATGGGTTCCCGTGTTATTGTGCGAAAAATGTCTTCACTGGATACTTGGAATTTGTCCTCGCAGGAACCTGCTTGTGTAAATTTAGCAACTAGGAAAATCGCAACACAAAAAGGCATTAACTGCGGCAGAAGCAGCTCGAATCTTTCACAAAACTTAATTTTTATTTTAAGATGAGTCATAGCAACGCCCATTGGCTGGCAGAAAGAGTATCCAATTGGCGTGACGCGGCCACAGCACCGAAATTTGCAAGTAGCCAGTCCAGACAATGACCTTGAAATTGGGCTTATCTGATTGGTCAAGTGCATTTGGTATAATATGAATGAGATTTCGTCGGATAACTAAATATATGTGTAGGTGTAAGTTGTTGCTTAAATCAAAATTCAGCTTTCCATGCCGACCAATTTATCGATTTTGTTGCGTCCGGTGGTTGCGGGCTTGTTTTTGTACTATCGAATCAATAATCAATTTCGGGAAAGGTCAGCCAAAATGAACTGTCGTGTTAAACATTATTTCACCAATTTATACCCCAACTGGTGTTGCCAAAACCGTCTCGATAATTTCACTTCATACCAACATACTCGAATGAGGCCTTTGTGGCATCTCATTGGCCCACTTCAAGGTCACTGGTGTAAGCCGTGACCTTACTGGCAAAGGCCATATCACACAAATGCGCATGTCCAGAAATTCGTTTCCAAACAACTTTCACCTCCAATTAGTCACCCCATGCGTTCAGACGACGCAGTAGTGTTTTGGATTTAGCCTGTCATAAAATTTTTTTTCGTAAAAACACCATATGTCTGCATGCACGACTGCTAGCCCTCTCATTGGTTGGTTATTTTCAAGGTCACGCGAATTCGGAAACATCGTCAGTTTGTAAGTATTTTGTCAACAAGTCGACTCTGCAATCTTTAACGCGCTGAATATTTGTTATCGATTTTATGGGACAAATTTCTCATTGGACAGTTCACATGACTTCAGGTGTTGACAACTGACCCCAGTTAATATGAATCGGGCTTCATTAACATGACTCTAGTGCTTAATTGGTTGTCTAAAGGTTAAATGAGGCTGATTGGTTATTGTGGGGTGTGTTTTGTGTCAACAAGACAATTGTTGGATCAACAAGTGGATCACAGGTTTAATTACCGTGATGTGGCGTTTTGTAGTTGAGTGACTGCGAGAATGAACACGCGATTGCTGTTTAACCAATTGTGTGTGTCCGCGGTCAATATGAAACCGGTGTGTGTGGCAAATTCAACATCAAAAAAAAAACATTTTTTTCAGTTTAAACAGAAAATAATTGCAATTTTCGGCATTTTGCTTGGATCTGATTCGCGAAATTGTCTGGAGGAACGAAAAATGCCTCATTGGTCGGCTTCTTCGCGTTTTAATTGGATCGTGAAGGTGAAGATCACGCGGTGACTTTTTCATACCGATACAGATTACAGATCAAATCACGTGCTGACTACGTGTTCCTGTTACCAATGGCAACGGACTAGGTGTTTACAGGTCTTCGGTTGCGTGATTCCTGCGTCGTGATTGGAAAGAGTTCAAAAAACGCAGAACAACGGAGATCATGCTCTTTCATGTTCGACAATTAGGAGTCTAGTCGATTCTGACGCTGATTTTATCCTGGAAGTCTGAAATCACGTGGTCACGCATCTTGTTCGACATTATTTAGCGTTGTTGGTCAAGTAGCAATCGTGCAATGGGCTAATGCAGGCTAACTGTTGATGGTTTTCGTAAATACCGCGCCTTCAACCCAGACCCAATTATGTGTAATCAAGGCAGCAAAAATTTTAAGTAGCCACTGACGTAATGATAAGTGTTCGCGGTAGATTTGAAATGGTGTGCATGGCAATTTACGTGCGAGTGGAATAGATTACAATGTACCTAGATTCAATTTTGCAATCTTTAAGCCTAATTTGTAATAAAAGTGTAATTTCAGCACTCTTGTAGGCAAAATTTTTAGGTAGCCAATGACGTAGTGATAAGTGTTCGCGGTAGATTCGAAATGGTGTGCATGGCAATTTACGTGCGAGTGGAATCAATTACAATGTACCTAGATTCCATATTTGCAATCTTTAAGCCTGTTTTTTTTTAAAAAAAAAGTGCAATTTCAGCACTCTTGTTCTCAAATAGCCGTGCAGTCAACATGTTTACATGGTGTTAAATTTCCCACATTTTCCGTTGCCAGGTTATTCGGATGAAGCACCAACTGTTACAAGGGTGTACCGAATTGGTAACTAAAATTCATCCAAGATAACTCCGCCGGACGCTGTGTTTGTTTAAATTAATCCGAATGACAAAATTGGTAGTCTGGGTGACATTTTGGACCGCCGTTTCTTGGGAAATGCCAGAGTCAGCATAAAATGTTCATTTGTCGTGTGTAGTGCACTTGGCAAAGCAAGTTGATATTTCCGCAGTTCGCTTCAACGCTTATTCCTCCTCGTGTCCACCAATAAAAAACGCTTGAGCATATCTCATGCTGACGAATCGATCGACAGCACGTGAATGGGATTGGCTACAAGTGTAAAATACGAAAACTTGTTTTTTTTTACAGTAAAATGTACAGCAAACGGTCGCCTTTTACAGCCAATCTCAGGCTTTATTGTCTGGACAGTCTACAAGCTAGACACCTTCCCAACTAAGCGGTCTGTTTCTGGCGTTTTAGTTAACAGTTTTCAGTTTGCTTGTAACTATGGCAAAGCAGGATGTTGCCTTCCTTGTTTCTCCTCTGTATTTCGACCTTCTACCGAGCCATGAATGTTTTCGTGATGTTGCCAGGCCGTATCCTGACTCGGGAATCAAGATTCTGTCTCATTTTGCAAATGCACAAATCAGGAAATGCACAGAACCCTCATTACACCGTCTGAGTGAAAACAGACATGGACGATTTATCATTTGATCATGATGGTGTATCAAAATGTCTGAGTCATTCTTGTTGCACCAATCACAAATTGGCAATCCTGGCGCGATTTTTCATAGTACCTTGCACCAAACTTCGAAGCTAATCACATGAAAGTGTGTCTGAAATGTAGTGTAACCTTTACAGCCTGAAAACGTTTCACATAACCCCAAAATTATGCGACGACCTCTCTCTTCATTCAGATTATCCAAGGTGAAAAAACAGCGCTTCTTGAAGGAAACCTTCAGAAAGAAATTCATTTTTGCCACTGTTAAAATAAGCTTTAAATCAGCCGCGCGTTACTTAAAAATTCAAATTTGATTTGCCCGCGAGCGCGTTAATTTCGATTCGCCAACTGATAGTCATCGATCGATATGTCAAGCTTAACACACACACACCCACACACACGGTGGTGAAGCATGTAACGAATTGTCTTGTAATTTCTTTTTTTCGTGGAATGTGACCGATAAATTGGCGATCTTGATTTAGGAAACGTAGTTAAGGGGAAGGATGTGTGTAATTGACGTAGGCAAAGTTGCTTTCGTCGTAGACATTTTGGTGAGAAAGGTAGCACGCTGGCTTCAAAACTGCAGTTTTGGCGCGTGACGAAAGCCTATCTATCTACGTGGAACTCCACACCCGTGGGAACTGATTCGTCAGACGACATCCTGGTGAGATGTTGCTGGGAATTTTCGACAAACTTCCACTCCATCTGATCTGGTTTAATTACAGGTCAAGCCAATAATTGTGGTGTCACGTAGAAAAGGAGGCTTTCTGTAAACAACGCCGACTCCCTAAGACTTGCTGACAACTCAAATTCTGGACCAATCATTACACATCTCCCGGACTATTGGCCCATCTCGCCTGTTGTCGAGTTGGAGGCTTTTGATTGGTCCCAACGAAATATCCCTTCCAGCCAAGGAAATTTCATTCAGGTTAACTCAAATTTCGGCTTTTTGTTCTGGAAAAATTTCGATGTGGGTGCTGGTGTGTGAGTGTATGCGTCTAGATTTGTGTTTTCACGTGCAACTAAGAATTTAACCAATACCGGATCAGCTAATTTGCTGCACATTTGCATAAAGTTACCTTGGACGGGTCTTTTGCGTGTCAGTTGGCAACACAAAACAGTCATGAACATCGTGAGTAAGTACACAGTCTCATTCGTTCTGATTACTTTCAATGCAACCTGTCATTTCTGCCTTTCGGCAGTCTCACAGAAGACTAATTCAGACGTGTAGATGAGTGTTATTTGAAGCTGCGTTTCCGCTACAGCCACTTTCTAGCGTTTCTGAAACGTTTCCTGTTTGAAAGATTTCATGTTTCGGAAATTTTTCAAACATATTCGTCCACCAATCCGGTCGCCGGTTGATTGCACAGCAGACCAATCTGGATTGGTCGCACTTGGAATTGACCTTGAAGAAATATGTAGAGCCAGTGTTTGTTCTATTTCTGCCCCAAATCTAACCTCCTATTATTGATCAAACAGAATGCATTTTCATTCTAACATGTGTCTTCGTTAAAGCTATCGTGACAGGGGAAAATTAGCACATCAGTTAGCATGCCTTGGTGGAAATTACTGCATGAATTTTAAATCTCCTGAACCCTTATTCGTCATTTTTGGATCCTTAATTGGTAATGCCAACTTTTAGAAACATTTACCAACTTTTGGTTTATCCGGCGTTGCTGGTCTACCAGTTACTCGCTTTCAGCCAATCAGCTTGAAGCGAGTCAACGGGGCGCACCAATGGGATCTCAGCAAACCTGAACTGTGTTCAGGGGTAGATCGTTCAAGTACCAGTGTATGCATGTCTACGTCACCCAGAAATCGGTTGGAAAGGTCATCGGTACCAGTGGTGACTCATTCTCTGGCGCCCCAAATCCCTTCCTTGTGTCGTACCGTGCTAATTCCACCGAAAACTGCTGAGGAATAGCAAAATATCAGAGGGAGTTCGAATACTTTTACGGTTCGACCAATCAGATTACTGTTTTACGTTAGTCATTTCAAGGTCGAGTCACTTGTGGGCAAACCGCCAGACACTAGGGCAAAATAGTCGAAAATTAGGCGAAAACCATCCAATTACGCAACGCGGATTAGTGCAACATGAATCTGGGATGTCAACTTTTGTGTGCGCGCGTGCGCACGCACGCACGAACGGCGAATCGTCATGGCAACGCGTTGTTTGGGCGATGTACACATGCGCGCACTACCTAGTCCAGATCGTGTACCAGGTGTGCGCTCGTGCGCACGTACGCGCCCCACCAGCTGATCGATGTTGCGAGGCGGCCAATGGGCGTGCGCGTGTGCAGGGGAGCGGCCGTGTGCACACGAGGATGCTCACTGGCTGCGTGCGTCTGATCTATCCATCCCATTGCGCGCACGCATTCAAAAGCGCGCACCTTACAAGCTCGCACGCACGCACGCGCGCACCAATGTGCAGAAGCAGTAGCGGTGCAGCAACATTGATTCGTCGAACACACACACGCACACACACACAAACTGCCACAGCCGAGTGTAGGTGCTGGGGATCATATCCACAAGCGGGTTCGCTTTGTGAGGTAGTTTAACAACACGGGTCTGTGTATGGATTTTTAATTGCTCATAGGACCTTCTCTCTTCATCCGGTGGAATAATCACGTGAGTGACCCCACACTTTGTACACCTCTCGTCTCATTCACGATTATTGTCCCCTCACGATCATTGTATCAGTTAAATCGACTTGGCATCACTTTACACCACAGTCTGAGCTCAATTTATCGATTTTTTTCAGAAGAATGAGATGTCGTCTGTTTTTCATTGGTCAATCTGTTGAACCATCGTTAGATCAACGCTATTGGTCAGTAGAAATCAACTAATGCTCAGCGCGGTTTTAAAGCGACCCAATAAAATTACAACCGCGTCTTTCAAATTTTACCACTGGAAGCAGTTAAGCAAAACAACCTTACACGCATAGAAACGTATAGGAGATTTCTACGCCTCCATTTAAAACTATTGGTTAGTCACATTCGAAGGTGGTTGGTTAAAACAATGAGTACCGGAAAGTGTTCAGAAATCGGCCAAGTTCGACCGTTTATGAAATACCACAAAATGCGCAAATTTTCAAAATTTTTAGTACTCCAACCACTGTCAAAAGAGTTCCACATTGGAATTTGTTTTAAATTTAATATTGTACAATCAAATCGCGCCATTTTGGGGTACATAGGGTTTAAAATGTAGAGATTTTTTGCAATTTTTTTCAAAAATCAAGACCAAAACAGCGTGCTTAAGCAGGAGATGTTTTTGCGCCTTGGTGCTGCATCAGGTGAGAGATAGCCGTCGATTCTCTGTCAGTTCCAGCTGTTTCTCTGATTTTTAGTCAGAGGCGTCTGTTTCCATCGTGCGGAACGCTCCACACCGACAATTCTTGAAGATCAAGAGGCGGAAGACTTTGAGGAGGCCGAGTACCGCCAGCTTTCGCGTGAGGGCTATAGATTTCAGCATTTACCGCATCACGAGATGTCCACGACCCAGGATCTAGACCAGCTATTGGACGAACTTCGACGCACAAGCCTCGACTACTCCACTGGACGTCTCCCTTCGTCCATCAACGGTCACGCCTCCCGGGCACATGGAGGCGGTGGCGTTTCCGGACCTGGACGGTACACCGCCAGGTCCTACTCTCTGACCGGCGCCAATCAGCGACAAAGCAGTGTGGGGGGGACTGCGGGGACCAAGTGGACCTCCTATCAACGATCCCAGGCGTTCTCCAGCGAGAGATCTCAGATCTCAGGTCCCACAACGCCGACTTTTGTGCGCAATGCCACCCCCGCTCCCCAGACACCAGGCCAGCAGCGCTACCAGACGACCTTCCGCACCACCCTACAACACCGACCGCCGCTTTCGCCTAAGCGATTCAACCAGATCAATGTAACCATCGATCCGGAATTCGGGACTACCTCGGTAAGATTTTTAATGTAAATCAGTCTACTTTTAAATTTAAGTAGCAATTACATATTGCGTCAAGAGAGTCCATGTCGAGAGAGTTAGAAACCTCCAATCGTTGGATTTTCCCTAGTCTTCGATGGTGGCGGACAATCGTGGCTTCCTGTCGCCACCAACAATGTCACGACCCCCGCAACCACCCTCGTCCCCATTGGCTGCTTCCGCGGTGCCGGTTGCCATGGAGAAGGGATCGGAGACGATCAGCTACCGCGAACTTCAACTCCTTGAGGAACTTTCTAGCGCGCGTCAGGAGTTAGCGATGCTGAAGAGGGCCAGCAGTGTCATCGACGAGCCCTTGCACAAGCCCCCGACCCCCTCAACTCTCCCCACTCAGCGCAGGGCTTACCAACACCGCGAGAATATGGAGGTCTTCACCAACAGACAGTACCAATCACATCACGATACTCAACAGGGGTGAGTTGATTGGTTAGCTCGATTTAATGACAAAAATTCAATTCCAACTAGATTGAACCAATCACACATTAGGCGAATTTTGATTGGCTGTGGCCGGTGGTACCAATCAAATTCCCGAATCTCGACCAGAGTGTGTGTGCAATTTCCCATTTGTATGTTTTCCTTTTTTAGATCGAGCGTTTATCGACCACATGGACGATATGAAGGCCTAAGTAAGGCGGCAGTCTCTGTATTTACCTTACAAAAGTCACGACAATTTTTAACTTCACATTACACAGCCAGTGTGCGGTTTTGTCTGTTTAACTTTAGTGTGTGTGTGTGTGCGTGAGTGCGTGTGCTTTCCTTGTTTACCAATGATTGTGTGCCGTTGCACCAACCTGCAAGCTTTCTCATTGGCCGACCGCGAACTCTGCTCCCATTGGTCCGCTGGTGCGCACGAGAGCACCGCTTCGTCTAGTCTCGTCTCTTCTACTGTGTTTGCGACACAACTTTTAAACGGTGTGACTCTCCACCTCCTGCTCTCGCCTGAGAATGCCTTCTGGTGCCAATTAAGGTGAGCTTCACGCCTTCTTAATGCGCAGATTTTTCACACGACCAATTACGTTGTTCCCCCCGTACAATTCTCAAATCCCATTGGTTGATAGCCCCCATACTTAGCCCTGACTATACTGGTGTACAGATGCTAAATTTTATCTCCTTCCTTTCATCCTCGTTGTGAGGTTTTAGGATTGATCTCAACGCCTCGTAGATGTTTAAAACAGTTCCTGATCGTGTATTGAATATATAAATCTAAGCTAATTAATCAGATATGCAACTACTCTGTAGGGAATCGTATATACATATATCGTGGTGTGAAAGCGCCATGTGACAGGCTTTGTTGAGAGAGTCATTTGCTTGCCAACCAGTCACCACACATCGATGTGGTATGCGTCAGCTTGTCACAATTACGCAACAAGACTTCGTGATCGCACACTCAACACACCTCCACCTCCTCGTTCGTAGATGTTCGCGACGGTTCAGCCCTGTTCCAAACTCCCGCCACAATTCCCCCCCACCGCGGTCCGACACCGACCGTCTGCGGTGCCGTTGAAGGGTCCGCTACGAGCGCGACACTCGCGCGACTGCCACAAGAACGGGATCTGTGAGTACTGTTGGAACCTCGAAACCCACACCACTTCTGTCGTGGACGAGACGTCCGCGTGCCTCTCAGACAACCCCTTCACTGACGACGACGACGACGCCTACAGCGAGTCTTCACCTAGCAGTTGTCTAGACGATGAACTCTTCAACGGTTTTGATCAGATGGATGACGCTGTTCCCAAGCTGCTTGACGAGGAATTAAAGCCTTCGAAGCCAAAGGCCCTTTACGTCACTTGTAAACCCCCAGCAGCGTTGGCTAATGGTGAAATGGTTACTAGGAGACGGGTGATTAGGCGGCGTATCAGTAGACCCTCTCTTCCCCCACTTGCTAATCGATCCTTCCACAATAGCCGCGAGAGTGCTTCGATTAAGTCACGCTCAGATTTGACAGGTAGATTGTGTTATCCTTGCTGACACACCTATGCAACGTTCATAAATTCACATCCTGAGTGTGTGTGTGTGTGTGCGAGGAGATTTTGCTTCATCGACAGTATTTCGTTCCACCGATCGTCTTTTTTCTCCACCGCTAGATTCTGGATTCGTTCTTGGAACGCCGAAACGCGCAATGAGCTCGGCGAACATCACGAGTAGCCAATCGTGGAACTACCGAAACGGTGTCATGTCTGGTAAGTTGACACCATTCCTGCTGACTCCTTTGTTCTCGTCATCCTTTGACCTGATTTGACTCCAAAAACCAGACAATTGTGTGACTTTTTTTCATGTTTTCGTGATTTCCGTGGGAACAGCTCGCTTTGTGTATGAGTGCGTGCGAATGCCCTATTCAGGCTCTTCACACCTCGATTTTCACCGTTGAGAAAACGTCGTTTTTGTAGAGTTGAACAAAAATTCCAGCCACTTAGACATGAATTTTCGTGATTTGCTTGTTATTAAATGATGTCGTTATAGCTGATGCATATGTCCGATGTCACCTTTGCATTATACGTCAAAGTTGGCCTCCAAATTTAAAAATCGCGGGCTAAGTTAGCATCTATTAAAACAAACACTTAAAGAATTCTTCAGCTAGACGTGAGAATTTGTTAAACACACCAGGGTTGCTAAGTGACCGTTTTCTGGGACATACAACCTCACCGCCTGCCCCGAACACGTCATCAAGTGGCGGCGATGACTCATTTGGACCGTGCACGCGGTGTGTTTCGCTTTTAGGCACACAAAGCCCTACTCCCGGCTACTCATCGATGCGTTCAACCGCCGGCTACCTGACGCCAAAGTCGCAAGGCTATTCAGCACGACGGGAGCGTCTTCGTCAGGAGGCAGAACACGCCGAGGCCCTTCGACAGAGCACTCAACGCATGAACTACGTCGCCGCCTCCTCTAGCGACCTCCGTGCTTCGTCGTCGTTGCGCCAGCAACGTCGACAACAGCACTACCACTCTATGTCCACCATCCAGGTAAGGTCTAGGGATGTGGTGTCATCAGTTTTTATGAATGAGTAATCAACAAGTACTCTACACGCACACAAATTCTCTTATTACACAACTGTTGAGTTCTCGTGTGTGTCAATCACCTGAATAATTGTTTCCATGTGTTTTACGATTGGTAACCTTAAAAATTCTTGCCACAGAAAGTACCTCGCACTTGATCCAAAGTTGTATATTTCGGAAAGCACCAGTTTTGCAAATTGTCATTTACCTGATAAGCACGCTCATTTCCTCTTGGGAGTAAAATATCACTCAAAGGTGCAGTTTTATTGGCTAATTTGAATAAAGTAATTATTGATTTCACCCTGGCTGAATCACGCTCAAGCAACTCCGATCGATAAGCGCATCAGTCATCGCACACAAGCCAGTATAGAACACAGTAAATATTGGTTTTTTAATCGATTATTTCAGCCCGAGCGTACTGGATTCGAGGAGGTCGAGACTGTGACCTTACAGCCGATTGGTCGAGGCGTTCAGGACCTTGATTCCAACATGGGATCCACTGCTACGTTGAATAGACCTCGTCGACCTGTGGCGTCTTCGATGCTAGAAGGTACGTCTTTACGCGGAAAATGACCTCCAACCCTTAGCATTGAGAAGAAAAACCCCTGTTTTCAGATAGATTTGGAAACAAATCTTTTCAGTAACCCATTTCTGGTCATTTTAAGCGACTTGAACCGCGACAAGACCTCAAAGGCTTGCGTGCACTGACCTTAGCACCGAGGTGACCTGACGCGGTCGTGAAACTCACACGATCTGGCAGACCTCGTGAATTTTGCAGTGTTGGCTGATGTTTCGTGTTGATTAAAAGCAACACGTTCGCGGCTTGGTTCAAAATATGCACAGTTGTACACCTATTTTATTTTTAAATTCTTATTTTAAGGTCTGAATCGGATGGACAACTACACGGTCACCAGGCAACCAAGGACAAACATGGCGTAAGGAAATTTTGCAAATCGGCATTTTGTGCAACCAATCACAGCTCGTCACGAATCTCATTGGTCAAAGATCCACTTTCAAATTGACAGCAATATTCTTGTCGATTTCAAGCGAAATTTGGGCTTTAAGGAAAGCACTTCAGAAGTTGACTTTGAGGCGCCTAAACAACAACCGTAAATGCGCTATTCACGCTAAACGCCTTCTCTCACTGACGCGTTCTGTGTGTGTGCAAAATTGTTAAAGCACGACTCACATGACTCAACCACATCGACATTCAGGCATGTTTTACACCTGAAACCTCAACAAACAATCACGATTAGGTAGCGAATAACCAAAGTATAATGTTCGTGGCACTTGTGTGTGTTTGTGTTTATACTAGACGTGATTTGCACCCGGCCTACACTAAAATGGACCCCAGACAAAGCATCCTTCATACGTCACGGATTTGGCGCCATCGCTGATTGGACCACGCTTTTTTGGTGTGTGGTGTGTGATGTGAAAAAAGAACCCGTTTTTTTCTTTTGCAGACCGTTTGGAAGGCAGGCGTCTGCGGTAGATGTTAATCAGTCTATCAACGCGCGTCCACAACACGCCGCCTCAAGTAAGACCTCGTGAAATCTTCACCACGGCGCTGGATTTGAAGTTGACCCTGTCATGACGGTGACTTTTCTACCCCTCACAGATTCGTTCTTGTCGTCGTTGAGGCGTCAGTCGGCAGGTGGGATGAGCGACACCGCGGGCTACCACCACCACCACCAGCAGCAGCAACAGCAGCTCTTTACCAGTACCACGACCACGAACACCTCCACCAACAAGACCGCGACCGTGGTGCACAACGACGGACCAAAATTCGTCTCCCAACCGCAACTCAGCCAGACGGTGGTTCCGAGTCTGGAGAGGTCACAGCAGGATAGCGAGGCCAGCACGCTCGTGGGCGGGACTGTCGATCTGGCGCAGGTGGAGGCCACTTCGCCCATTTGGTATCGATTGAAGCTGTCGCGGCAGGAAGGTGGGTTATTGATTTGCGATTTTCTGATCTTAAGTTGACCAATCACATGCGGCCTTATGTTGGTTGGTACAAAACAGCATTAGTAAGGATGAGAAAAGGAAACAATTGAATCGTGGTGAATATCTGTCATTAGGAAGACATAAATTTGTGGACTTTAACAAAACTTTACCCTTGGAGGCCGCCTAATCGATATAATCGAAAACTGGGATTGGGAGAACTGGCATTGACCAATGCGATAACATATACCGAAAAAAAACTTCCAAGTATCGATCCACGCTGTCCCATCAGGGATGCTAGTTATTGAATAGGGATTTTTCCGTTGTCAAAATGTCCATGACCTTGAGTCGACCAATCAGCTGCGTGCTTATGTTAGTAGGAAAAAAATTGAAATAATTTGAAATTGAAGTGAATATCTGACGTTAGCAAGACACATATTTGAGAATATTAATCACATATAACCATGGAACACCACCTTATCCACGTAGTCAAGTCCGGGATAACTAGTGAGAATGCACGTGCCGCAAATAAGTTTAAAATTGATATACTACTGTCAGGTAGTAAGTAGAGGGATCTGCGTTTTAAAATAGGCATTTGTTTAGTGGGATAAATGTAGAAAATGCGACTCGCATTACTTCACATTCGACAGTTGCGCCTGCTTGATGCTCAAATCCTTCACAGGACCTCATTTGCACCACGCAAATGACCCGGCAGGAGAGGTGAAATTAATTTCCTCAAACTCACCTGTGATTTCTGCGCAATTTCGATAATTTACGCAGTTCATGCATCACGTGCGACGTGCCTTCACAAAGAATCCACATTTCGTGGCTCAAAATGGTACAATTTAGCCGTAATTTACTCGCTTTGTCTTATTTAGCAATTTCCATTCTCAAAAATCAACCTCCCGGGAGTTTCCTCGTCCGCGACAGCACCACTTTCAAGGACGCCTACGGATTGGCCGTGAAGAGTACGAAGCCACCGAACAAAGCCAATCAGAAATCCGGTAGGAATTGCGCCGCTACTCGTCGATCATTGTGCTTGCATTAAGTCGCTCATTCCACCATGAAAGGGTTTAGAGCATGTGGACAAAGAAATTACGAGAGATTCTTGTCACTTTTCCTAAGTCGGACGTTAGAGCTTGCTTGCCTGAATGTGCGCTACTTTTACAAAAAAAATTGCTAAAATTACGAGTTTTACCTACTAGAAAACCGCTGTTTACAGTCTCAGGCACACTAGGTAGCATCATTAATGCTAAGAACCAATCAGAATTTCTGAGAGATGTCATGAGTGTAAGTAGCCAATCAGATAGCAGAAAAATCGATAAATCATTTTAAGGTAGCTGCCTGCCATTCCAGCCTGCGCATGCCCTCACTAAAGTTTCCCCGTTACCATGGCAGCAGGCGGTGAGGCGTGTAGAGGCGGATAAACCAATGGTTGCCATGTTTAGTAAAAAATATCGTTTTGTTTAGTTACATCGATTTTATTTTATTAACTGTTTCTTCCTCATTTCCACACCCCTCGCCCTCATCCGCTCCAATCGCCCCTTATCCGTTGTCAGGCTTCGCAAAATTCATGAAAAACATCCTAAGTAAGACTTCTTTCCCTTGTCAGCGCCTAATGCTGTCTTGTGTTGAAACCTGCTCGTGCGCCATTATGTTCGCGTTCTCTACTTGCTGCGCCACACCCACCTTACGCAAATCGTTACTCCCCATCCCCCAAACCCCCTCAATTCCCCCCCTCCACCTTCTAATTAATTCAATTACGGCGGTTTGTGAAAACTAATCGCAAAACAAGCAGCTTGCTATTAATCTTCGGCTAGTTTTTTGTGTTTTAAATACTACTGAATCGTAGCAAGTAGAAATGATATATGCATTGTTAATAACACCTGGTACTGTTGCTAAGGTGGTGAAACGGGGAAACGGCCGATTTCTTCGAAGGCATTACTTGTACACTGTGGCGTGGTGCGTCAGCCACCACGGCCACTTGAACCGGCGCGTATGTTGCATCCCCTTTGGTGCAAGATCGATAATTGCATTGTCTAATCAAAAAGGGCGAATTTGCGCGTTAAATCTGTCGGTGTTGTGACAAGTCATGCGTTCAAAAGTAACCGTTACGTTGTGTTAAAACATGAATCTTCGCATTTATTTCGTTGTTCTTTTATTTTATTTACTCTCTCTGTGTGTCATGGTGTTGTAATTATCTACTGGCATGTGATTTGGGTAGTATGGTGAAGGAACAGTCAAATCTGGCTACTGAATTTCAACCGGCGAACTTAAATGTAACTAAGTAGCAAGGTGATAACTTTATTAAGTGTAATTAATCGATTAGAGGAGTAGAATTCGTAAGCAGGTAATCCTAACATGTTTCTAACAAATGCATCCACGCAGAACCATCCTTGTCGTCCAGATACTTCAAGAACACCGAGGGTCAGTGTCGTATACTAACACTCTCACCAATTATCGATTCCTCACTCGAACCTCACCGCTCTGCCATATTTGATTGGCCAGAATTTGTGCTATTTATCTGCCTCGTGGATGCCACAACGTGCATCATGACGCATGTTGTCTGCATGTGTTTGTGTGGGGCCACGAAGCGCACGTGTAGGCGGAACTTGAAGCTCTTCCACTCCTTCCACATTCAGACGACATCAACAACGACCTGGTGCGTCACTACCTCATTGAGACGGTGACGACACCGACGCGCGGTGTGCGCATCAAAGGCTTCAGCGCGGAACGCGTCTTTCCCAACCTCCTCGCACTCATCCACTACCACACCCAGTTCCCTGTCGCCCTGCCCTGTTGCCTGGTGTTACCTCCGGTGCCTCCAAGTCAGACTTCCGGAGCTGTTCTCGCCTCCAATGCCTCTTCCATCGTCGGAAACGGTGGTGGTGGCGGAGGAGGTGGTGGTGGTGGTGACTCGGATTCAGTGACGCTTGTCCAAAACAACGGGTCACGGAGCAAAGACCAAACCCCAGTGAGCTTCCACTCAATGAATGAAACAGGGAACGGCACCGACACTCACCCTGCCCGCAACATTACCTCCCCGATCTCTCCCACCGCCGGCATGTTCCCCAGCGGTCTTGCTAGTCCCCCACCCAATATCTGTGAGTTGTTCCTCGTGGTTGCAGAAGTCAGCAAGCACACCAGTTCCTTATTGGTTAATCACGACTTGCAGTTAAAAATCATTGGTCCCTGCTCGTGAAGGCGTGTTTCTGTTTTAGCCTGTAGATGTTTGTACCTCGGTGCGGTTGAAGTGGACGCCACGTTGAAGGAGGCGGGTCTGATGCAGGCTGTGGACGCTCTCATTCCCGGCGCGGTGCTCCAAGCTGAGGTCTGCGACCAAGGCGGCGTCGACTGTCCTGTGCAGTACACGGAATGTCAGTTGCAGGCGGCGCACAACGAGGGCATCCTTCTCACCGACCTCTCCCGGAAACTCTTCTTCCAACGCCACTTCTCCGCCAGCAGCTTCGTCTACGCCGGCGTCGATCCAAGGGACAAAGTGTAAGTCGACTTGGACAGCCCTCTTGAAACGCCTTGAAAAATGTCTTGAGTGCAAGTAGCCAATCAGATGACAGAAAAATCAATAAATCAATTTTAAAGTAGCCGCCTGCTAGTAGCCAATCAGATGGAAGAATAATCAACCAATCATTTTCAAGCAGCTGCCTGCAAGTAGCCAATCAGACGACCGAATAATCAATAAATCATTTTAAAGCAGCTGCCTGCAGGTAGCCAATTAGATGACAGAACAATCAGTAAATCATTTTAAAGCAGCTGCCTGCAAGTAGCCAATCGTATGACAGAATATTTAATCAATCATTTTAAAGCAGCTGCCTGCTAGTAGCCAATCAGATGGCAGAATAATCGATCAATCATTTTAAAGCAGCTGCCTGCAAGTAGCCAATCAGTTGGCAGGAAAATCGATAAATCAGCACCAGTCTTTTTCATGCCAAAGCTTGGATAGTCTGCACAAGTCATGAAAACTACCGTCTGAACCTTATCTGGGGTCCTAAATTTGCAGAACCATCGAAAGACTGAAAGGGATTCGAGATGAATCCCGACTTGTGCCACTTCAAATTCGTCAGATTTTTGCATTCTGATCACCTAAGTTTGTTGTTTTTTTAATCTTACACAGGTTCATTCACCCCAATCATTCAGCCCTTGGACTGGACAAGCCAAAGTGGGTCAAATCTTTAATGATACACATCGATGCGAGTCGAATTTGTCACTCATAACTTCCTCTGTCTTTGCACAGGCTCTTTGGTTTCATCATAAAGAAGATGAGCGGTGAGTACGTGGGTCACGTGTTCTCGGAGTTCGACGCCAACATTCCGGCTGCCAACGTCACCGCACAAATCAACTCCCTCCTTCTTAGCAAGTAACCTCCTCCTCCACCCCTCCACCATCACCACCGCAGCTTCCATGCACAGGACGAAGCGCCAGCAAACTACTTCATCACCTCCCCGTACATCTGTCACTAGCTCCTGTCCCAAGACGGTACTGCGCCAGCCTCTCACCCTCTTGCTATTGACCTCTCTCTCTCTCTCTCTGCTCGCATCGACTCCGTGGCGTGCGCGTGTGTGCGGGCACGACGCCACGGTCTCCCTAGTCCGAAAAAAACTTGTGGTTTTATGCGCGATTTTGTCCGAGTGAACTGACATGAAAAATTGGCATGTACAACTCCTCTTTCGCCTAATCTCACTATATATATATATACTTGAAGTCAGCAGTGTGGCTGTCTCTGTTGATATTCTGGGCAGTACAACCACGCAAGAGGCTTCTAGATATTTGCGATAAGAACGTCAGTGCATTTACAGTCACAATTTATCAAATTTTGGAAAAAACAACCACTATTTCTCACACAGCCTGCTCCACACACTGCCTGTGTGGTTTAGTCGTTCGGAAATTAAGCAGAGAATGTCAGCACAGTCGCTGCAATGTGATATTTCCACAGTAATCTGATATCTACCCTTTTAACTGGTCTTGGCGTGAGGGCCAATGAGGCTAGGTAAATAGACATTGATTTTAGATTATATCAGTCTGGGCATGAATTAGTCTATCTTTTAGTAGTTCGTTCTTTAAATTCTCTAGTTAACAGGCTGTGACAACTCTAGCAGAGTGTGTGGATGAGTGAGGGGATGACGAACGACAGATAGCAGTTGCCAAAGTAATCGAGGTGAGTCATAGACATCGTCAGATCAGTAAACAGGTTTCACTCAAGCGTAGTCGCAGATGATCCACTACAAATATTCCCTGCCTCCCCTGACCCCAAGAGTGTTAGCGGTGAAACCCTGAGCGCTCCAAAATCCCTGAAATGAAACAGCAAAGCAAACAACAGATCTCAGGGGTCGGTTGGGTCGCTTCTAGAATTGACTACGGTGGGGGACAGGGGAGGCGGAGAGCTGTCGTTGTTCGGACAATCCTAGACGATAACTCATAACTTCTCAGTAAGCGTTTGGCTACCTGTTAGCTGCTACATCAAGGATAATTCGATTTCTCAGTCCTTGGGACAGACGCTCGTGTAATTTTAAAACAATTTGATTGCTTTCAAGCGTACCAAGAGAGATTCGTCCATAATTGGCAAAGAACTGAGTCATCAACCTCGTAATCCTGAACAAGTTGAGAAATTTGCCTGTTAACTAGTTAGAAATCGAAAACTAGGCGTCGATTGGCCTTGTTCAAGCTTGTCAACTGTGTGAGAACAGCATCTTTTAACATTTCATTTGGGTTTGTAAAAGACGTTGTTCCAAGAAAGTGGATAATTTCTGTAGTAACATCTTTCGGTTGTCATGCAACAACATGTAATCAGCTGAATAGAATTGTAAGGAGGAAAGCTGGCAGAAATACAGTTTTATAACCGGGAGCACACAGCAATTGGGTCAGTCATTGTTAACAAAAGAGAAGGTTATGAATAGATCAGAAGAAATCACAAATACACGAAGTCGAAAATATAGAGGTTTTGAACGTGAGGGTCACAAAATGTTGTGGCTTGCAAAACGCTACCTAACAGTGCCCTAAAAAGTCCGTTTATTAAAGCCTCGCCAGTTAAGTGTAGTGTAGAATACTTGAGCCCTAGTGGGAAGAAGACTTGTACAACAGTACAGGCTTTATTGACTAATCACAAGCCAGAACCACACGTCAGGCACCGTCCATCCGAGTCTACCAAGCTGGCCACGCCGCCCATTATGTACCACTCCTCGAAAGAATCTGTATCTCGTTGGTTGCCTATCTTCCTTGTATGCCATTGGAAAGCAAAGAGACAGAGGAATGACTGAGGCTGCCGCGATACGTCACTACAGTTGTGTAGTGTGGTGTGGCGTCGGATTAGGGCGCAGACATGTTGGACCACCTGGCTTCAGCCAATCCCGTGTCTCTGCGATCCAATGGCATGCGGGAAAGGAAGGCAGCCAACCAGAGAAGGACACGACTGAGGTGCAGTATATAATGAGCGGTGTGGCCAGCGTGGTGGACTCGGATGAAAGGCGCCTGATGCGTGGCTCTGGCTTCTGATTGGTCAATAAAGCCTGTTCTGTTGCACCAGTCTTTTTCCTATTAGGGCTCGGGTATTCTACAGTAGCGACGCATGAGGGTGCAGACATATTGGACCACACTGGCCTCAGCCGATCCTCTGTCTCCCTGTGTTCCAATGGCATGCGAGGAAGACAGGCAGCCAACAATAGAAAGACACAAATGAGGCGCAGTATATAATGAGCTGCGCGGCAAGCATGATGGACTAGGATGGACGGCGCCTGACGTGTGCTTTTGGCTTGTGATTTGTTAAGAAAGCCTGTTCTGTTGTACTTGTCTTCTGCATGCTAGGGTTTGGGTATTCTACAGTTTTAACGTATCATGGAGCAGAATAAGTGTGGCTAACCAGAGACATGGGCTAATGATGAGCAGTATATAATGGGCGGCGCAGCCAATGTGCTGTTCTCGGATGGACGACGCATACTGTAGGGACCCGGCTTATGACTTGTCAATAAAGCATATTCTACACACCAGAATGTTTCATGTCAAAGCTACGGTAGTCTACACATGCGTCTGTATGCAGATGAGTGAGCGGATGGCAGGAGTTTAGTAACCAATGAAATCGTGATAAGTCATTGACATCCTTAGGTCATTAAACGAGCTTCACTCTCGTGTCATCGCTGATAATTTGCTACGAAGTCACCGTACATCAGCACCTAGAGTTCTTTTCAGAAGTGTGCACCATACATATCAAGCTTCAATAGTTTTTAAAGTGTATGACAAGTCAGTTAGTAAAGTTTGCGTTCATAATCCATAAAAGGAATTTCATCGGTCGAAAGAGAAAAATAGAGATGATTTTTAGAGATCATTCATGCAACTCGAGATGACAGCGCATTCAAATATGGATCTTATAATTCGACGTACGACGTATGAATAACTTACGCCTCCATGTGTGTTTACAAGACGACTCGTGAAAGACTGCCACACTTTACTGTTGTAACCACCGACAGCAAAACATAAGCGCTCTTGAAAAACAAGTTGCGTGATTGCTAAAACCATTTCCCGAGTAGCACATTTGCTTATGAGAGTTAGCATCTCATTTGTAGGGGAATATTTAATTCCCAAAAAAATCCTACCAGATATCTTTTACAAATCAGGTCCTGGGTCCCCTATTTCCTTTTCTAATTGCAAAGGATTTATGTAAATAAGATTGTGCTGGTGACTGCCTTTTATTACAGAATTATTGGATAATATTTAAATCAAAGAAATTACCGAAGCATCGCTTTTCGATATTTTATTACTCAAATTCATTTCTCGTCTTCTAGCTGTTAATGTCAATAAAGAATCCAGACCCCCGTTAAACGTGATGGCTTCTATAAGTGCTAAAGAAGTAGTTTTAAAAATTAAAAGAGTGTTAAATAACAAATTTACATGAATAAATTATCAACTCTTAGGATTTTGGAAGCAAATTAAATTCGTCATTGAAATGTACCCACGACATTTTAAAAAGTATTTTTACATTTAAAAAAATTTGTGAAAAGACCTAAATGCTGCGAGTTATTGCCTTAAATAAATTAAAGAAGATGTAGGCTAAAATTGCAACCTAGACGTTCTAATCATCATTTGAGTTGGGAACTTGCACCTACTTAGTAATGTGGATTCATGTTCAACCAGCCCTTAATTAATCCCTTATCGGAATGATTTATTACGTAGAAGGATTTGCATTTGATCAAAGCAATTAAACATCAACAGTGATATTAATTTTTTATATGGCTGAAACGCTAAGAGAAAAAGCGCACT